GTAAAACCCCATTTCTACAAGAAATTTAAAAATTAGCTGGGTGTGGTGGTGCATGCCTGCATTCCTGGCTACTCGGGAATCTGAGGTGGGAGCATTGCTTGAGCCCAGGGAGGTTGAGGCTGCAGTGAGTGGTGACTGTACCTCTGTCTCAAAAAGTAAATAAATAAGTGAAATGAAATGAAATATCCTTATTAATAAACTGGTAAACCTGTTCCCGTGAGTTACGTGGGCCGCTCTAGCAAATTAATTGAACCTGAGCAAGGCGTTGTGGGAACCCCAATTTATAGCTGGTCAGTCAGAAGTTCTGGAGACCTGGATTTGTGACTGGTGTTTGAAGTGGAGGGTGCAGTCTTGCGGACTGAGCCCTCAACCTGTGGGATCTGACGCTATCTCCAGGTAGATAGTGTTGGAATTGAATTAGGACATACAGCTGGTGCCCACTGCAGAAGTGATGGCTTGCTTGTTTGTGGAGAACCCCTCCCACCCCACCGCCAACACACACATCTGGTCACAGAACTCTTCTGTGTTGGTTATTGTTGTTAAGTGAGAGAATAGGAAAAAGCACATTCAGTGTCTTTTGTTCCACACAAACAGGCTGCTGCACAAAATACCATAGACTGTGTCTTAGTCTCTTTGGGCTGCTATAATGAAATATCATAAACTATATGACTTGTAAACAAACATTTATTTCTCGTGGTTTTGGAAACTGGGAAGTCCAAGATCAAAGGGTTGGCATATTTGGTGTCTGGTGACGGCCTTCTTCCTTGTATAGATGGTTATCTAAATTTAGGTAACATTTATTGCTGTGTTCTAAGACAGTGGAAGGCTAAACCAGATCTCTGGGGCCTCTTTGATAAAGGCACTAATCCCATTCATGAGGGCTCAGCCTTCATAACCTAATCACCCTCAAAGGCCCTAATATTTCCTAATACTATCACCTTGAGGGGTAGAATATCAACATACAAATTTGGTAGGTATATAAAGATTTTTTAGTACACTGTAGCCTGGGTGGCTTAAACAATATAAATTTATTTCTCACAGTTCCTGATGACTTGGTTCTTCGTGAGAGTCCTCTTCCTGGCTTGCCAATGACTGTCTTCTTGCCATGTCCCCATGGCACATAGAGATCCCAAACTATCTAGTATTTCGTCTTATAATGGCAGGAATCCTATCACAAGGGCCCCAGCCTCTTGACCTCATCTCAGCCTAATTACCTCCCAAGGGCTCCATCTCCAAATACCATTCCATTGAAGGTTAGGGCTTCAACATATGAATTTGGGGGTGGGGGACACAATTCAGTCCAGAGTATATGCACGATCTCATTTGATCCTCCAGAACCCCATGACATAGTTTCCATTTGAGGATGGAGAAAAGGAAGCCTAGAAAGGTGAGGCTGTCAACGGCCGCTCTGCTAGGTAGAGACAGAACTGGGAGTTTTCAAATCTAAGGAATTAACTAAGGAATATTTGCCTTAAAAACAAGTCTTGCTGCCTCCTGAGGCCTGAAGATATTATCTAGTTTGGTTTTGAGCCATTTGGTCTGAAGTTAATATGAAAATGTATGCGGCAAGAACGTGAAGTTTGAGACCAGCTGGCCAACACGGTGAAACCCCGCCTTTACTAAAACTACAAAAAAAGTAGCTGGGTGTGGTGGCGGGCGCCTGTAATCCCAGCTACTTAGGAGGCTGAGGCAGGAGAATCACTTGAACTTGGGAGGTGGAGGTTGCAGTGAGCTGAGATCGCGCCACTGCATTGGAGCCTGGGGGGCAGTTTAGACTCCATCTCAAAAAAAAAAAAAAAAAAAAAAAAAGAATAGAGAGGAACTCCAGTGAAGAGGAGGAGGCTATGGAGGGATAGGCAGTTTGCAGGGAGCAGGGGAGCACCTGGACACAGAGGGAGAGGGTCCTGGAAAAGCACCCATCCCCATGAAAAAATTGGGGGAAGGAGTTTCACGGGAAACTGGATCCTGGAAGGTTGGCGGGGTGGAGGTGGGGGGTTGGAATTATGATGTCAGCTCTCATCAGGAAAATGTTTGACTCATGTTCACTCACCCTTTTGGCCTTGTTCCCAGGTCCCACACCCTTTTGCTGGCTCTGACAAGTTTTTCAGAGCAGGGAAAAGAAGAACACACACACACACACACACACACAGAGAGAGAGAGAGAGAGAGAGAGAGAGAGAGAAAGGAAAAAAGACAAGGCAAATCTCTCTCTCTACCATATACCCAGGCGGTGGGAGTTACAAAGATTTCTCTGTTGAATAGATCTTGGAATAAGAACATTTCTCCCACATTGAGCTAGTGTTAAGATAAGGGTGAGGTTCTCGCAGTCCTCTGAAGCCTGATTAACTCATTCTGGCGTTCTGGAAAGAGCACTAGTAACAATATAGCTCAATTCAGAAAGCATTGATTAAGCTCCTTTTTTGAAGCAGGAACTATGGAGGGTGCTGCAGTTCTAAGGAGCTGTGTGGCTTCCTCTGTCCTTGGCAAGTTGTCAGCTATGTGATGATTTAGATATTTTGGGGCACTAGCTCCTTATCTTGGCCACTGTTTCTACATAAAGGTGAATTCTCAGCCACAGCCAGGTGTGGGCTGTGCTAGGACATGCTGCCCTTATTTCTGTCTTACCTTTCTGTTTGCCGCTGTTCCTTTAACTGAGTGAAGCCACTAGTCTCCTGGCTCCTGCCAGGAAAAAAATTCAGAGGCTGAGGCAGGAGGATTGCCAGTTGATCTGAGGCTGCACTGAGCTATGATGGTGCCACTGCATACTAGCCTGGGTGAGAGAGTGAGATTCTGTCTCAAAAATAAAAATTAAAAAAAAAAAAAGAGGACATTCAGGAAATCTTGCCCCACCCAGTGCACTCAATTAGATCATTATTTATTTATTTATTTATTTATTTGAGATGGAGTTTTGCTCTTGTTGACCAGGCTGGAGTGCAACGGGGCCATCTTGGCTTGCCACAACCTCCACCTTTCAGGTTCAAGTGACTCTCCTGCCTCAGCTTCCTGAGTAGCTGGGATTACAGGCATGCTCTACCATGCCTGGCTAATTTTGTATTTTTAGTAGAGACAGGGTTTCTCCATGTTGGTCAGGCTGGTCTTGAACTCCCAACCTCAGGTGATCTGCCTGCCTCGGCCTTCCAAAGTGCTGGAATTACAGACGTGAGCCACTGAGACCGACCATCATTAAATCTTAAATCGTCACGTGGTCTTGAGAAAGCCACATAGCATCTCTGAAACTAAGGAATAAATTCACCCTCTTTGCTTACTTCACAGGTTCTGAGGGGAACATTAAATGATATATTATGCATGTGCTTTATAAGCAATAAAATATGACACAATGCTGTGGTGATCCTCACAGGGTTGATAAGCTAAGGGAGTCTTACGTGTCACCTATTATCACCCTGTGTATTTATTGTGTGCCAGGTCCTCTTCTAGGCACTTCATAGAGCTTCAGCCCTTGAATCTGCTGAGCATCCCAGCGGGGCAGGTACTGAAGAGTGAGGTTAAGTGACTTGTCCAGAGTTACACAGTAAGTGGCAGAGCTGAGATTCAAAGCCAGGCAGTCAGGTTCCAGAACCCACATTGTTAACCACCGTGTGCCCCACTAACACTCTATGTTCTCCTCCGTGAGTCCCTGGCAGAGATGACAATTGTCGCCTTCACGATAGATAAGCTACCGGAAGGCAGGGCCTAAGCCTCATTCACACATGCGCACAGTGCCTGCCACATAGCTGGAGTTCAGTAGATATTTGTTGAATGAACAGTTATCCTCTGGGGAGGGATACAATAAGTCTGATACACTTGCTGTATTTTTCCTTCGTCTTTTCTTGGTTAACCACACACATTTCCTTCAGTTACTAATAGGAGTTTGGCATTTCTCACCGCCTTCATTGACCTCCTTTGGACTTTGTCCATGCTAGCAGTGACCCATCTAAAGCCAACTACTGTGACATAAACACTGCCTCACTTGGAGAATAGCCTGACCAGCGCTGGGCTCAGTAGAACTATCCTTTCTTCTCCCGTGGTGTATCCTCACTGTCCAGGACTCTTCTCAGAAACCCACTCCTGCCCCTGGACTGTTCATATGCTTAATGAAACCAAGTACCCAAACTGACCCTTCAGCTGTTATTAGGCAGATAAGTAGACTCCATTAAACCTTTTCCTTCCTTCCTCCTCTCCTTCCTTTTTTCTCTCTCCCTTTCTTCTTTCCTTCTTCTCGTCCTATCCTTTCTCCTTCCTGCTTCCTTTTCTTCCTCCCTTTCTTTCAAGGTCTTTTCTGTGGGAGGAACTGGTAAGAAAAGGAATTTCCTAAGGTTTTAAGGAAAAAACAAACAAACAGGTTACTGCATCTTCTAATATGGAATCCAGGTAGTTTATCAGCTTTCTTTCTTAGCATGACGACGGTGAGATTTCTTGTAAGGAAAAAAAAAAAAAAAAATGCCAGCATCACTGGCCTCATATATTGGATTATAGCTAAGGGGATCAAGGGACAAGATGTTTGAATTTGGAGGCGTCTTGGAAAATCCTGTAGTGGACACAAATGTTCACAATGTCTCTGCTGCGCTCCTCCAACTCGGAAAAAAGAGACTCAGGTGCTCATCATAGACTGAAAACCTGAGGACAAGCGAGATGCGATGATCAGATAAACTGGCAATGACACGCACAAAAATGTGTCTATTCCAGCCAGGGCTTTTCTTTTCAGTTGTTTGTTTGGGTTAGAGATGACTTTGGGGAACTGCATGTCTCAGTGGACAGGCTGAGCTGCGTTGTCCGAGTCGTGGGGTTGCAGCCACCAGTCAGTAGAGCCGCCGCCCCCCGGGTCCGCGACTCGGGAGCCGGAGAGCCGGGCCGCGCTTGCGGGAGCGCGCGCCCCAGGAGCCGTCGGCGGGTGGAAGCGGAGGAAAGACGGCGGCCTGGGAGCGCGCGAGGCTTCATGTGTGCGCGCGCGCGCCCGCCCGCCCGCCAGCCAGTCCGCGCGCCCACTCGCCCACGCGCCCACGCACGCGCCCGCCCGCCCGTCCGCACGCCCGCGAAGTCTCGCGATGCCGTAGCCGGCTGCTCCCGCTGCGGGTGGCTCTGGCTGTTGCTGTGGTTGCCCGAGTTGCTGCTGCTGCGGCGGCGGCGGCAGCGGCGGCGGTGCCGGTGGATGTGTGGGCCCCTGGGCGGATGTTGACATTGTGTTGTTGTTATTGCTGATAGTCATGGCGGCGGCAGTAGCGGCGATGGTCCAGACCCCGTCTCCTCTGTAGCCGGAGCCGAGACAGCAGAGAGGGAACTCCGCGGCCTCGGAGCCGGCGGCAGCGGCGACTCCCCTCAGCCTCCGCCGCCTCGCCCGCCCGTACCCCGGCGCCAACCCCGGGAGTCAGGCCCCTTTGGGCAGGGGCGCTCGGAGGCTCAGGATGGCGGATTTCGACGAGATCTATGAGGAAGAGGAGGACGAGGAGCGGGCCCTGGAGGAGCAGCTGCTCAAGTACTCGCCGGACCCGGTGGTGGTCCGCGGCTCCGGTCACGTCACCGTGTAAGGCCCGGAGGAGGGCGAGGGCGGGAGGTGCGGGGCTGGGGTGGGCCCCGTTACTCCGCGGGAGTCCCCTTTCCTCGGCGTCCGCCTGGTGTCGGGGGCCTTCGGAGGAGTAGGCGACCAGGAAGTAAGAACTTGCCTTATTTTCATTTGTTCGGGGCTCCGAAGTGGGGACGGACGGCGTCCTTCCTCCTCCGCACACCCCTTCGGCAGGCCCTGCAGGCCCGGGCGGCGTGACGGTCCCCGGAGGCGTGGGTCTCCATCAGCGGCTGCCCTGCGGGCCACCCTTCGGCGAGCCTCAGGGTGGAAGGACGGGTATGGACAGGGAGCCTCCTGGTTTTCTCGGCCGGGTGTCCTGTGGTTCTCCGTGCCTTTGCACCCGGTGACACGGCTCAGAGGCCAGATCTGGGCCGCGTGAGACCCCAGTGACAATTGGCAGCAAGGCTCCCTGTCGTGTCTGTTTCACACATGCTCACAGGTCTTCCCGTTCTTCTTCCAGAGTTAATTTCCGCAGAACTAACGCAAGTTCTGGTAATGGTACGTGATAAAAATACGTAGTTGAACACAAATTTAAGATATGCAGAGAGAAGTATGTTTTCAACACATTAAAAAAAAAAAAATCTACGTGAGGGACATACACTCTGCTCAGGTTACTGAGGGCGAATTGTAGTCCCAAAGTTCCTCCTTGGGGCATGAACTTGGAGCTTCTTAATGTGTTAAGAGTCCCTGTAAGTCCCACTAGTAACGTTAAAAGTCTAGTATTCAACAAGAAGGAAGGAAAGCTTTCGGAAAGGCCATGACAAATAAAGGAATGTGAAGACTTGAACCAAATAATGAGCTGTCCGGAAGCAGGAAGTTTTGTAATGTTTGTGAAGTCCACAGTTTTGTACTACCTGATATATTGATACTCTCTCATTTTAGATCTCTTGTTCAAGTCATAGATCAAACTGCCATCCTTGTCAGGTGTCTCTGTACTTCTTCACCTTTTCAGTAAAACAAAAGGGCCGGCAAGTTGCAGAATGTCTTGAACAGTCTTCATTATATTTTGGCGAACAGTGAGTGGGATGTGCTGTGAATAACTTAGGGAAACAGTAAGACTTCTTATATAAGTTTGTCAGCAAAATAATTGCATTTCTCAATACATGATAAAATCAGTCATATTGTCGTTTGGGTATACTTATGTAATGCTTTGATTTCTTTGGCACCTGTTAGTTTGTATTCAGGTGACTTACCAGGGCACTGCATAATTGCTGTCATAGCACCATGACAAGACAGTGGAATTTATCACCACCATAACACTTTCTAAGTGTTCTGTCATTACCAGCTTGAGAAATATAACCAAATATCATGAATATTAAACTTGTAACATGTATCACAGAACTCATAACCTGCCGTTTGCTTTTATTTTGACTTTTAGGACCTTTTTGCATTGTTTTAAGCCTAAGGAGTGTGTAGATTGCTTAAAGAAATGATTTTCAAACTTTGTCATGCCATCTTTCATTCCCACTACATTCCTCATGTCAAAGAAAAGCTAGCAGAATTTTGTCGCTTAAAAAGGCGGTACTGTAGTTGTATTGTTTCCTCTGTTAAGGAGAAGAAAAGCACTTTGTTGGGTAAGTGGAAAATGTAATAGTGAGCAAAGTACTCAGAACCAAATAGGTAATCAGTAAACTTGACTGTAGTTGGCTACTTGGAGAGGCGAATAGGATAGAAAAGAATTATTAGTGGTTTTCAAACTTAGCTGTTCCTTAGAATCCTGAGTGGCTTTAAGAAAAGACCCTTGCCTTTGCTCCATCCCAGGCCCGTTGAAGGCCAAGTACTAAATGAGGGTCCTAGACATGGATAGTTAAAATAATAAGTAAATATATAATAAAATCTCACAGGTAATTCTAATGTGTAGCCAAGATTGAAAACTATTCCAAGTTATAGGGAGGGACTATCTGCTATCAGTAAACAGTATGCCTTTCTACATTGGGAGTTAAATCTCTGATCTTCCTCAACAACTTCCTTCTCCTCCCATTTGTCTTGGTTCTAGGTCATGGGTTAAAATCTGTCTCAGCCACTTCCTGGGTAAATTATTTATTTACGACCTTTAGTTGAGATGGGGATAGTTAGAGTCCATACCTTTTAAGATTATTAAGGATTAAATGACATAGTAGTACATGAAAAAAATTTATTGCAGTGTATGGTACTATGTTCACTGGATACTAGCTTTTGTATTATCCTCCTCAGGTACGGTTTTCCACTTTGAGAAACAGGCATAAAACATAGTAAGTACTAAGAAATTAGAACTGCCATTGTCAAACGTAACAGTGATTGACTTTAGTTTTACTTTTCCATTTCTAAGCAATGTGTATGTGCTTAAATTACTGTGTTTGAAGTATTTTGATGACGATAAGGATCTTTCTGCCTTGAAAACTTAAGGCTGTTTTATGGTGACATAGATAGGTAATGATACAAAACTTTTTTTTTTTTTTTTTTAACATGGCTCTGTCATACGTAATTCCTAGGCACAGTAGCACACTATGCCAGTGGGTAGTCCAGTTAGCACCTATAAAGGTTTTTAGAATTGGTGCATATGTGTTACTGTAAGTGTTGAGCACATTCAATTTTTCTTGTTTTAAATATAAATGGGAAGGGCTGTCAGAACAGTTGTAGTAAGACTGGCTAAATTTATCACTACCCCTACCACCCCCTTCCCCCCCAACCTTTTTTTCTTTCTTTTTTTTTTTTTTGAGGCAGAGTGTCGCTCTTGTTACCCAGGCTGGAGTGCAATGGCGCGATCTCGGCTCACTGCAACCTCCGCCTCCTGGGTTCAAGCAATTCTCCTGTCTCAGCCTCCTGAGTAGCTGGGACTACAGGCACGCGCCACCATGCCCAGCTAATTTTTTGTATGTTTAGTAGAGACGGGGTTTCACCACGTTGACCAGGATGGTCTCGATCTCTCGACCTCGTGATCCACCCGCCTCGGCCTCCCAAAGTGCTGGGATTACAGGCTTGAGCCACCGCGCCCGGCTTCTTTTTTTTTTTTTTTTTTAACTAGGGTGCTGATCAGAGCAGTCTTCCCTTTCCAATTTGAAAGTAATTGACCATATAAACTGAATCATTTGTAATCTAGATCAATCTGGAAGGATATAGATCAATCCATATGTTTTTCACAGATGTAACTTCTGAGTAGGCCTTGACAATGGACTATTTCTACTCTTTTTTTCTACTTTAATTTATTACAGTATTACTATTTACTTTAGAAACTATTGTATTCTCACAGTGACATGATTGGCATGTCATTGTGGTGATATGAGAGAGTAAGTTACCTTCCATTTTCTAGGTTAGTTTTTAGGCATAATCAGATTTTTGTGATATAGGACACAAAATGTCTAATTTGCTTAAAGTCCGCTTTAAAGTGGCTTTTAATACTAATATTTTCTTTTTTTAAGATACAAATGTTTTCATCTTAACTCCAAATCAGTCTTGTTTTTTATACTTCTCTTGTGATTGGTATTCTTTTTTGACATTCTTCTGTTTAAGAATACTATTTCCCTTCATTGTTAGATTTCTATGTAGCAATATGGATAAATCTTGTGCAGAAGCATATTTTGAGGAAAATGGTATTGGAAGGAAGGAAGATAAATGATAGATTCCTATTACTGCATAATATTTAGGTACATGTAACCTAAAAGGCTTATACTCACGATTCAATTAAAAGTAGATTTCCTTCTTGTTTTTGTGATAACTTCTCAAATATATAACTGACTATGAGGGAAAAAGTGACTATTAGGTAGTCTTGACCAGGTTGGTTAATATTTTAAAATAATGGAGTTCTGAATGCTTCAAAATATATTCGTACAGAATATATTGATCATTATTGAAGTCTTTCATTTTTCACAGTGATAACTTTAAAGGATGTGTCAGTCTAAAAGGTAGAATTTAAAAGTAGTTTTAGGCCAATGTTTCCTAGGTAATCTATCATTATAACAGACGTTATTTGCTCCCATCTGCAGTCCCTACCCTTTCTATGTCAGAATCAAACTTGAGGCTTTCCTAGAGAATGTCTAAACTTTGATTTCTAATTCAAGCCCTGTCATAGAGCCAAGTTATTTTGCTGAGATTTGTTTCTAATGTTATTCTTTTGTAAGTTCACTAAGTTTTACCGTGTCTTCATGTACTCCCTTCTGAGGTATAATCTTAGCATCTCCACAAATAATTCCTTAACCTTCAACAGCATTTTTTATCAATGGCTGTTGGAAATCACTGTTTGCTTGTTTCATTCCAGGTATGTTATGGAAAATTAAAAATTTAGAAATGTGACTTGAAAACGTTTGGGATACAGCATGATTTTTGAATAAGAGACATCACAAGAATACCTTAGTGTTTATCGACATATCAAATGGTAGAGTTAATAAAAAAATTGTCTTGAAATGTGTCAGTATTTCAGGACTGCTACTAGATGCTGTGATTAGCAATAAGAGACCTGAACATGATTTGCCAGAAATTGCAGAAACATTTCAATAAAAGTTTTGTTAAACTTCATAATTCCTACATCTTTCTCCCATCCAGCATAATATTTAAGACATATTCTATTTCTAAAGATTAAGCGGGCCGGGCACGGTGGCTCAAACCTGTAATCCCAGCACTTTGGGAGGCTGAGGCGGGTGGATCACGAGGTCAAGAGATCGAGACCATCCTGCTCAACATAGTGAAACCCCATCTCTACTAAAAATACAAAAAATTAGCTGGGCATGGTGGTGCGTGCCTGTAGTCCCAGCTACTCAGGAGGCTGAGGCAGGAGAATTGCCTGAACCCAGGAGGCGGAGGTTGCGGTGAACCGAGATCATGCCATTGCACTCCAGCCTGGGTTACAAGAGTGAAGCTCCGTCTCAAAAAAAAAAAAAGATTAAGCTTTCTGTTTTGGATTTTTCGAAGACCTTATTGATGTATCTCCACAGGCTATTAAGTTCTTGAGGGCAGAGTTTGTGTTTATTGATCTTTCTCTACTATTT